ACTGTAAGAGTATCGTATGTGTAGTACAGTGAGACAGTAAGAGTATCGTTTGTTTGAAACAACAAAGAATCTCCTGAAATCATTCAAAGTTATAAACAGAGACACGAAGAGGTCTCACCGTAACAGGAGGAGATACAGTTGTTTTAGTCTAACTGAAAACGTTACGTTTGGTTCAACCTCCACTAGCTAAAGTTTATGGAAAACATCAACAAATACAAACGTCAACAGGGCAGAATGTTATTCACTTGGTTATCTCAACCACAATTAACATAAACAATAATTATTTCTTTTCAAACAATAAAGTTAACAAAAATCATGAAAAAATATCCCCAACACACTGGGGAGTAACCGCATGTGTACGTATATATGTACTGCATAAAAATATTTCAAGTAATACTACCCAAATATAATCTTGCAAGCTTACCCATATTAAAATAGGGTGGGTGGGCGGGTTTATATAAAGCACTGTAAGGCTGCTGCCATCTTGCTCTGCTAATGCTGTTAAAAGACCGGAACTAGCATGGGGAGCTAAGGGAGCTTACTCTAACTGCCTTGGCAAAGGCTAAAGTTGCGTACACCAAAATACAATTTACTAATAAATTTACGCTTTGGTTCAACCTCCACTAGCTAAAGTTTGTGGAAAACATCAACAAATACAAACGTCCACAGGGCAGAATTGTATTCACTTGGTTATCCCAACCACAATTAACATAAGCAATAATTATTTCTTTTCAAAAAATAAAGTTAACAAAAATCATGAAAAAATATCCCCAACCCAATCAGTTCTTGTATTTAGGAGAAAATTATTTAAGGGGGTCGTTATTGTTGTAATATTTAAAAAAAAAAAAAAAAAAAAAAATAATCTTAGACTCACACAAAAAGCCCCTTTCCCTTGCAATTTCTGGACATTGATGCCTTAACACAATGACATGCCAAACTCTCTTGCCGTTATCAATTTTTGCGAAAAATCTGTTTCTATGTTTCTAAACACCATCGCTTGCCCAATAACCAATGGATTTGATGGTGTCAAGTGGGACCCCTAACTTGGCAAGCCAAGTGGCCACTCCTCTACGAAAAGAGTGGCCTCCCGTTTTTGACATAGGCAGTTGCGCAATTTATCACAAAAACACTTGTAGCTGAGAGCTGAACCACCGTTAACTAGGAGGAGAGGTCCCAGAGGATTTGCTGCCTCTGTAATAAGCAACAGACATTTGAGCGCTGTAGCAGGACATAGATCATTCCCCGTTCTGGGCAGTAGGATTTCAACACGTTTTTCCCTGAACTGTATAGTCTTGGTTTGGCGTAAACACAACAAATATCCCCAGGGATAAGGGAGATATATGCGACGAACATATCGGTCTCCATCAAATGCGCCAGTGGTCGTAATGTTCCCAGGGCGCAGGAGCCCATAAAACGCAATTAAGATTGCACACCAAAACGTAATGTCCGACAAATTGGTAAAGTTCAAGGTCGACTTGATTTTATGAAGCTGCTGAGGTGTAATTGCCCCCACTGGTGACTGGGCTGTACCCAGCTCGCGCTTATTACCTTGGAGTAGGTGTTTGAGTTGAAAGTCCTTGTTCACAGGGTCCCCAAAACCCGATAGTCTGTGCATGTGAACCACAATATTGAGATATTGTTGGATAGTGTTGAACCGAAATCCTCGAACCTTAGCTAGGTAAGTGACGTATAGTTGAAGGACTGATGTACAGTTAATACTTCCGCTAAAAGTTAAGTAGCACTGCATATGTGTACGGTAAGTGGATGCTGTTCTCTCCTAAATTATTATCCAATAGGAATAATAACACAAATACAAAATCTTGTATTTCCCAACGACATAGGCACTGACTGATATTTATTTACATATAATCATCAAAAAACAGCAACACAACAGTGTAAGTGTACATCTCACACACAATCATCACTCCTACCCTACTTATTTATAAATAACAACAACAAAAAATTCACGTGTGCACGGCTTTACCTGTGTCGCCTGAATGACACGTATATACACTATCTCAGCACGTGCGAACACCTGTAGCACGACTAGAGCCACCTATTGGCTACTCTCATACCAAAGAGAAAATAATTTCATCCTAATTCCTAAACCGTCAACCGGTTGAAATTATATTTCTCTCCTAAATTATTATCCAATAGGAATAATAACACAAATACAAAATCTTGTATTTCCCAGCGACATAGGCACTGACTGATGAAACTCAAAGAACGGGAAAATTGTTTTCAAATCTATATTATGAATAGAATTAATCCCAGATACGCACACTAAAACTGTCACGATTCTATAAATTATAAATTCAAATGTTGAGAAACGCTTAACCTTTCGTCAAATTTGTCTTTAACATACCCATCTTTGGCTGTCTCAGACCGCCATCTCCCATGGCGTTTAAACAACCTATCCGGAATACCACAATTAGCTGCAGCAGTAGCTCCACCTGCGCGAAAACTGTGCAATCCATAACTTTTAATGTCGGGCACAAAAGCAGAAAAGGACTCGATGAAATGTTCCCGAAAGCGCGAATAAGACATCGGTTTATTAGCTTTCCTAAGCACATACTTGTCGCCTTTCTTCGTAACATTACGAAAAACATATTCCTCGGAATCATCACAAATCCCAGACAACTTGGAATAAATTTCAAAATTACACACTGGACACAAACGCGACTCCGTTCTGCTCACAAGAATCCATGCACCATCTCTGTATACATCTGTTTTCGACCGCTCCACGAAAATTTCTAAATGTGTTGTGCGTATCTGGATATCAGACCTCCGTAACGCTAAAACCTCTGCACTCCTCATAAAACCTGAGTAAGCAAATAAACACATTGTTAAAATTCTTTGATTATACAAATTGTTCTTATCGAAGAGTTTATCATATACATTATTCAAAATTGACACGGTGATTGGTTCCTTCCTCCTAATAGGTTTCGCTAACAATCGTTTCGCTCCCTCAAATACATTTTTTACTAATAAAGAATCTGTGGGTGATGATTTACCTACAATATTGTGTGCCCATTTTATACCATATAGTGCATCTGTAATACTTCCAACTTTGCCGTTATTTCTAACCAAATAAGATAAATATATGCAAAAAACGAACGGTTTCGTCGGAAAAATATCCTGTTCCTCAAAATTGTTTTGAAATGCCCATTGTTTCCATCGCAAATAACCATGGCAATATTTCCTAACGGTACTGTCTGCTCTACACCCCTGTAGCAAGTGTGGAACCGTCAATGCTAAGTCTTTAAGGTGATCCGGTACCATATCATACTCATCTTTCAAAGCACGTGTCGCTAAATGTAAAAAAATAGAAAATAAAATTCCAAAATAATTACCTTTATATGTATGATAACACATATTGTACAAATTCAGCATCTTAAACCACTTGCACAATTATCCACACACATATATATACCATAATTTCACCAAAAATTGGTCAAATTAAATCAATCGTATAACACGATTTCACCAAAAGTTGGTTAAATTAAATCAATCGTATAACACGATTTCACCAAAAGTTAGTTAAATTAAATCAATCGTATAATCCGATTTCACCGAAAATTGGTTGAATTAAAACAATCGTATAACACGATTTCACCAAAAGTTGGTTGAATTAAATCAATCGTATAATCCGATTTCACCGAAAATTGGTTAACTTAAATCAATCGTATAACACGATTTCACCAAAAATTGGTTGAATTAAAACAATCGTATAACACGATTTCACCAAAAATTGGTTGAATTAAATCAATCGTATAACACGATTTCACCAAAAATTGGTTGAATTAAATCAATCCCACAATACTATTATCACCAAAAGTAGGCTAAATCAAATCAATCGTATCACACGTTTCTCACCAAAATTGATATCATTTTCTATGCTACATTTCTCACTTAAATTCAGTTTATCTATTAAACCACTACCGAAAATCAATACGTAACGCAATCATCGGGAATGTTAGATCTGCATTTCCAAACATGCCTTTCCCCGATCTAGATGATGTATAAAAACATTTTTCTCTTTGTAAAAACCTGTATTCATTAACACCTGCTATGAAATGGTGTCCGTCCGGACACAAGCATGGCCAAAACCTACCAGACTTCCAAAAAGGAATGACTAGCGTGCCATACGCTTTGCACATTTGCATATACCTAATAACTCTTGATATTAGATACACTGGTGGAACAAACCAACCGTTTTTCCCAGTCCAACTTGTTGAAAATGCATCAATGCCTACAGACCCTGGATTCCAATACCTAGAATAAAATATAGGCACCTTCCTATTATACCAGGAAGCAAACCAATCCACATCAAAAGGACCCCACATGTCATTAAACAACTGAAAAACATTTTCAGACACACCCCAGTCGTCAACATCGACAATTTTGCTGATAAAATCAGCACAAACATTTTCTTCTCTAGGAACCCATTCCATTTCTAATGATATCTGATTTTGTATCATAAGCACAAAAATATCAAGTGCTATATTTTGCAAAGATGCTTTCATGCTTCCTTTCTCTACGATCGCCACCACACCCTGGTTATCTGAAAACCATTTCACCCTGGTCCCTCTCAGTACATGAACAAGTGAACACAACACTCGATATACAGCTATCAACTCTCTGAAAGTTGAACTTTGACACGCCTCGTTCTCAGTCCACACACCGTGTGCCACGCCCACCGGTGACTCGACGCAATACCCACCGTACCCTGTGCCGCTGGCATCAGAATATACTATTCTATTGCACTGTGGGGAAAACTGGATTTCTCTAGAATTAATACAATTAATGTGATTAATCCAAAATTCCATCTGAGCTATAGTATTATCATCCACAAAAATTCTATCATTCCACGACTGGGCTTTTAAAATACTCATACTGACACATTTAGTCATCAGCTGAGTAATATTGCCCAAAACTATACTCATCGACATAATTTGACCAACAAAACTCGCTAGAGATTTGACATGAACAGACCTGCCCTTGTACACAACTTTTAATATGTCAATAACACACATACGTGCTTTCTCTACCCGTCTCTCCGGAATGCAAAGAATTCCTAATAAAGTATTAATATCTACACCGAGAAAAGTCATGAATTGTACAGGATCCCACATAGATTTGTCTGCTTTTGGCACAAAACCTGAATCTATAATGTCACTTTTAACTTTTGCACTCTGTTCTACTAATTCAAACTTATCAGTGTTATGACACAATCCGTCATCCAAATACATCAAAATTTGTAGACCCTCACCTCTCCACTTCTTAATGAGCGGTCTAGTGACTTTAGTAAAAATATATGGCGCTGTAGACAGACCAAAGGGTAACACCAAGAACTTAAAATATACTTTTTTAGAACCAAAAGTCCACGAAAAACCAAGAAATTTGGTGTGGGGAGGATAAATATCTATGTGATGATACGCCGAATGTATATCGAATTTTATCAACCACCCATGTTTCTCTATATACAACAAAGCTGTACGTAGATCGTCATATTTCACGGATTGTTTCCACAAATGTTTATTAACCTCCCTTAAATCCAAAATTAAACGCTTTTTGCCATTGCATTGAATCGATACAGTTAATGGATTTGTCATATATGGGGGTTCCTCACATCTTTCTATCAATTTACGTTTCTCTAGATCGAAAATAGCTTTCTCCACAAACTCGGCATTTTTCAACGCTGACACGTTATTTTTAAATTCTGCTTGTTCTGGTTCGGAATAAAATGGAATTTTATAACCGTTATCAATCACGTCCAACACAAACTCAGAACATCCAATATTCTTCCAAAATTCAACATTATTTTTTAATCTGCTTTTTACTAAAATGTCAGCCTGACCTTGTTCGTATTCAAAATAGTCGTTAGTAAATTCTGTACTAGCACAGGCTCCTGTATAATCACTATTTGATAAACTATACTTATCTTTGATAACTTGAGCCTCTCGAGTCTCTGTGTCCTTATGTCCCAGTCCTGGACTGTCCCGCTGATTTGTTAACGATTGGACAATCTTTCCTGAAGTGTCGGAAATCCCCACATGCAAAACAGGCTCCCTGGTTTCCCCGCTGGCCACGAAAAAGCTGATTCCCATCAGAATGCCGCACAGAAGTAGAAACCTGACCCGGAGCTCCCGCCGCAAAACTAGGACCTTGATATCCATACTTTGACCTCTGTCTGTTGAGAAAAACGTCTTTCTTCTTTTTCTGCTTATCCTTTAACCTTTTCACAGCCTTATTCTCGGCGCGTGAAATTTTCTTGTCGTCGTCAGAATCACTAGCAAGAGGATTGGCCATATACTCTTTGACTGTCCCCCACCCTGCCTCAGAACTATCTGCTATTCTTATTAGTTTGTTCCTTTTGGTAATTTTGTCAACCACTCGACTCAAAATTTCAGAGCAGTATTCTTCCTTCTTATTTTCAATAGCCCACCGCGCTTGATTCACTTCCTCCAACAGGTCCGTATTGAACATATACTGCTGCTTATTCCCCTCACCTTTCCAGGTAATACCTTTGTCCTCTTTCAGCTTTTGAATTTCTTTAGAGACATCTCTCCCATTTTGAATTTCGCATAGCCTTGTATCTAAATATGCTTTCATTTCACATTTCTGACTCTGTAATTGTTGAAAAATGTCACTTAACGTAACACTGCTAGCAGTATTCGCACCACTGCCCTCCATCTGTATACCGAAAACTCTCTCTATAAAAATTCACGTGTGCACGGCTTTACCTGTGTCGCCTGAATGACACGTATATACACTATCTCAGCACGTGCGAACACCTGTAGCACGACTAGAGCCACCTATTGGCTACTCTCATACCAAAGAGAAAATAATTTCATCCTAATTCCTAAACCGTCAACCGGTTGAAATTATATTAGTACTAGCCCATGCCTTGTCTTTGTATTTCATTGCAGCTCTCTCCAGTTCCTCCACCATTGAACCACCTACAGCATATAAACAATAGAGACATAATAATTATGTTGAGACAGTTCATGTACACAAAAGTCACTGTAGGCAAGGGAAGAAAGCAACGAGTACAATAACGATAATTTGTCCCTCTCGTGTAGTCGAGAACACGTGTCCGCAACTCGGTTCCACTCTCATGGATAATAAATGACTTTGAGAGCGATATTGTTTATAGCACAAATACAAAACAAATGACGTATCAGATGCATGACTAGACTGTTCCTCGAAGTGCCTTTGTTTATCCAAGACACTGCAGACTTATTGTCACTGTAGATCACGACGCGCTTATCACACAAAACCTTGTCCCAGCGGCAAAAAGCAAAAAATATTGCACAAAACTCTTTCACGTTTATATGTTCGTTGGCCAAGGGAGGTAAATCCAATTTCCAATTCACATAGAAATAATCACCGTTAAAATAACCTCCCCCGCCGTCCGACGACGCGTCTGTTTGTAATGATGTGACAGGTTTTGGGTCATGAATCGTGCAGCTGCCATTAAAAACGAAGATGAATGAAATCCACCACCCTATGTCCGCGAAAAAATCCGGTGTCAAAAGTATCTTATGAGAATTGGCACAAAGTTTGTCTTTCATATCAATGACTCTCCTCAGGAATGTGCGGCCCCCACTTATTACTTGTGACGCCCAGTTTAATTTACCTATTAATACTTCAAGCTGCTTGCGACTTGCCCTTTTTCGTACCGAAAACTCCCTTAGCACGTCTGAGAAACTCTGAAGCTTGTCATTAGGCAAAGAAAAAGTCATTGTTATTGTATTGACCATTATGCCTAGAAAAATGATCTGTCTTACCGGACCTTCTACTTTGGACCAGTTAATCGCAAAACCCAGCTGTCGCAGCAGCTGTAACAATCTATACATAGCATTGTAACATTCAATATAAGTATTGCCAAACACTAAAAAATCGTCCAAGTAGGCAATTGCTGTGAAACCATATTTACATTTTAATATTCTACATACAGCACTACTGAGTTTTTGAAAGATCTGTGGACTTTTGGATGCCCCAAAAGGCAATTTTGTATCATACATATATGTTGGATTGTCATTTCCATCGAAATGATATTTCAAACCTGTTGCTTTGAAATTCAATGGGTGGATATTTACTGATCTGTAAGCCGACGCTAAATCCACTTTGGCTAAATAGCACCCAGGTGATATATGTTTGGCTGCCTCCCGGCCGGAGGTCCATATAAGTACACGAACAGTCACTCTTGACATAACTATTTATAGATTTACCAGTAGGGCGACTCGCGTCATGTATTAGTCTGCCCTTTGTTTTTGACTTTGGAATAGCCCCCAGCGCACTTATTATCACTGGTTTTGTCTCAGTTATCACATAGTTACCGTTTGCTATTTCGCTTTGTATCTGATCTTGGACCAGACCAGAAAACTGTTTACAAGAGGCATAGTTTTCTTCCTCCACGGGCACGATGTGTTTCTCTAGACCTTCATCGATAATGCGAAAACCGGTAGCCACGCCCTCTAAAATAAACTCCCTATCAAAGTCATCCGCAGGTAAGAGGGACTGCCAGGCTTCCAATTTCAACTTGTTGCTAGTATGTACATTATTTACAGTGGCCTCATGCTTGGGCTGATCATGATATATCTCTTTTTTGTATGATGAATCGCACTGTGCTCCGCATAACACACCGAACAGATATGCGCAAGTTTACACGATTTATAATCACACACGTCATTGTTAAATTTCCTGCATATTTCTTGATTGTCCGGAGTAAACGGGCCACGTTTTCTTGGGGTCGACCGTTCCCGACGATGTCCCTCTCGTTTTGAATTTACCGTCGTACCCTGAAGTACCTGAGCAGTCAGGTTGTTTGGCTTAGGTACAAGTTGAAAGTTCTGTATCGCGGTTTGTGGCGTTCCCCATCGAAAACCTTCACTATGTTAGGCCTCCCGATATTCCCGGTCATACAGCATAACACTGCCGCGCACATACTTGCTGAAGAGTCGATTTATCGTTTTTGTATAATCCAGGTAGTCACGGATACCACGAACATCCACCTCGTTTGCCTCGATCATTTCTTCTAAAATTCTGCTATTACCATAGCCCCATTGTTCAACGCTGATTTTGTAGTAATCTTTGTCCATTTTACGGTTTACTTTGACCCCTGTGGTGGTGAACGTGACGATTTCGTCCTCGTCTATCAATGTGGGATCGCGCCAAAGATAATTGTGTACAAGGCGGGGTTTAGACTTTTTTGTATTGTTCACATTCTGCAGCAGTGTCTGGAAATTTAAGTCAATTAAATTGTTCATACCTGAAGTGCTGGGTCTTTCTCTCTCTGTTGATGACCCACCCTCCTGGCGATCACGTGGAGGGGCGGAGACGAAGGGGCGATTTTGTTCATAAATTTTCCGCCGACAATATTCGATCTCCTTGCAGAGAGCCCCTTTTCTTAACTCCGCTTTTAAACTATCGAGTTCCTTTTCGAGCTCGGCTTCTGGTTTGTCACTCATCGCTGATGGTGGTGGGCCTCCACAGGCACCATGACGGCCATCATCACCCTGATGTTCGTCACTAGATTGAGAAGCATTTTCTTTCCGATGTACATTATCATCGGTCTCCTCGCTGTCACAATTTTGGAGGAATGTCATTAGTGAGCTTGATCGCTCTCTTAGATCGTAAGCGTTCATCGCGATGTCGCTGGATTTTATATTTATATAAAGCACTGTGAGGCTGCTGCCATCTTGATCTGCTAATGCTGTTAAAAGACCGGAACTAGCATGGGGAGCTAAGGGAGCTAACTCTAACTGCCTTGGCAAAGGCTAAAGTTGCGTACACCAAAATACAATTTACTAATAAATTTACACATGTATTCTTTCCAAAGACTGATCTAAGGCGTACTTTGTATTCTTTGATTCAAAGAGCACTACAAAATACTTGGTTAATACTCTAAGAGCAAATTAATTTTGATATTTCCAACTCAAAGCGACAAAAACATTGCTAACATCCCTAACTTTGCTAAGTCCCCCCATTGTCCACAGCACAGCCTACGAGCATGTGTGGCACAAATTAGACAGGAGGGTCAGTAAGTGTGTCACAAACAGTGCACCTAACGAAGGCCCTGCTCTAGAAGATACTTATTGATGGAGCAATGCTTATGAGCGCAGTCCATTTTTTGTGAAATGGTAAAGAGTTTATGAGTTATAACAAAAGCTAACATTGATTATATAAAATATGAGCAGGACCCTGTAAACAAAATTAAGAAAAAGGTTATTTTTCCAACTCAGATTTCATACTTGACAGTAGAACGGATATGTACCTGAATCAATATGAAGTACACAACTAAGTTCTAGTAATGCATGCCAATACTTAGAATTATATTTCTTACAAATGAAAATAAAATTCAAATACTTTGTAGTAACTGATCATGAACGGTTCAATATTGAGCGGTAAGGAGGAAATTTAAGTGACAAAGAACAAATGACCGGAAAGTGTAGTTCCTGAATCGTTACCGAATAATCAGTCACAAGAAACGAACGGCATTCAAAATGACAATTAAATTCTAAATCCTCCCTCTAAGCAAGAACAAACAGTTAAGTTCAATGAAGTCATTTATTCCATACGTGCGTTTGAACTATATCAATATCAAATTGGAAAGTGATCGTGATAGAAGAACGGTATCAATGTTCACATGTTAAAACATGGTGCAATTGCTTTAACGGTTACTTTGACCTTGAAGCAATCTCTAGCAACTTGACTTCCTTATTATACGGAAATTGGTTTTCCTTTTAGGCATTGCCAGAGACAAAGGGTTCACCTCTAAAAACAATATTGACATGGAACTTTTAGCAAGAATATTCATCTTTACAATCAAAATCGTTACGGCGTCAACAAGCCGTGTTCAAAAAGAACACGCCCACAAACCGAACGGTTGTTTCAGCGTGTCACTCACTGTATCTGGCTCGTCGATTGGTTGATAGAACGTTTGAGGTCGGTGTCGCCTTGTTTTCAGAAGCAGTATACAACATTGTATCTTTTTCGGAGACTGGTTGTTTGCGCGCATTGTCAGCTTAAGATTACGCATACACGTATATGGAAATGTAAAATTTACATTGCATGTACATGTTTCAAACCATGTGTCATGATTTGAATATTTTGTTTGATGTGTACTTATCCACATTTTCGTGAACTGTTATGGTATTTCTGATTACAAGAGGTCAAAATGAAGAATATTACACATGCTTGAAAGCAGTCCATACTGGCCGCTGCACTGAAAAGTAACAACTCATTCACTTAAAGTGTTTAAATATATTTGTAAATTATATAATAACATTGATGTGCACGAAAACGATAGCATTTTAATTTATAATAAAAGTAAGTGCAGAATCGGCGCAAGAAACTGTAATTCAATGCAAAGGAGTACTTTTTATGTATACAGTTTTATGTGAGAATAATTTTCATGACAATTAAACTGTATTAAGCTTTATTTTGGCTGCTGATTATCGTTGCATGAACAATTTAAAGGTAAGAATAAATACCAAAACAAGACTTTCCTGATTTACGTACCGTGCGACGCTATTTATTTAGATATCATTTTCCAAAGTATTTTATATATTTTATAAAAACTAATGAGAGTTTGGAGAAAAATTTAATCAGAACCCTCGTTGACTCCAAAATATTTCAACTATGCATATTTTCTGCCGATATTGATCGTTTAAACCCAAATATTCGCCAAAATACCGGAAGTGTCCCTTCCAGGGTACAGTAACGCCGGTTTGGCCTACGTAACTCTGATGGTTTTTCGCGTTCTTTTTATATAACCACGCGCCCGAAATATCAAATTGTGATAAAAATAAAAAGTGGATAGTATCTATTTATGGAAAACGAACGAACATTTTTGGAACTGATAGTATAGTATTGTATAAAGAACATTGATATTTATCTAAAAAGTGTCCCGATTTGGGTACAGTGACGTTAGATAACCTGTGTGCCGATAGTACATTGTGTACCCACGAATGTCAGCTGCAGTGTTACTCTCGATGGAGCGTATCCATGGAGATAATTCCCCGGAAAATGATACCTAATTGTTTCGTTTTTATTAAGATTTTGTTCAATATTGAATAAATATTGGAATTACAATTGAAACTGTTTAGTTTTTATCAAGACAGGGAATACGTATAAGCAAATACATGCTGCCGGTATAAAAAAAAATCATGCAATTTTCGCATATTTATGTACGCAATCACAGGGTCTTGACACGTTCCTATGACCCAGAATGAAAGGTATTTTTTTCAGTCTGTGTAATAAGAACGTGTCAAGTCCCTGTGTACGCAATAGCATGTGGATATGCTCAACGAAACAGTCTAATATGGCAGTTTATTGATAAAGATATGTATGTATGTCGTTTGAAACATTTACAAATATATTTAACAGGTATACATTTGCATGTAAACGTTAGAAAAGTCAAGTGAATGAGTTGTCGAATCTTGCACCGTTCTATGATGTTACTTTTCAGTGCAGCGGCCGGTATGGACAGCTTCCAAGAATTTATAATGTTCTTCATTTTGACCTCTTGTAATCAGAAATACCATTATAGTTCACGAAAATGTGGATAAGTACACATCAAACGAAACATTCAAATCATGACACATGGTTTGAAACATGTACATGCAATGTAAATTTTACATTTCCATATACATGTACGTGTATACGTAATCTTAGGTTGACAATGCGCGCAAACAACAAGTCTCCGAAAAAGATACAATGTTGTATACTGCTTCTGAAAACAAGGCGACACCGACCTCAAACGTTCTATCAACCAATCGACGAGCCAGATGCAGTGAGTGACACGCTGAAACAACCGTTCGGTTTGTGGGCGTGTTCTTTTTTGATTGTATGTAGTTATTAATTATTCACTAGAAACTTATGTATAAAGCTATTTAATAGTTATCTTTGTATTCTAGACAAAGCACAATGGCGGTAACTGCCCATTACACAAGTTAATAAATTGAAGACAAATATACTTATAATTAAACCATTATTTAAACGTTAAACAGAATGAGCCTACACCTAATGTTATAATCTTGGAGTACAATAATTTACCAAAACTAGTATAAAATAGTATAACTTACCACCAAATGCAGCCAGGACACAGCCTAAGTGGAAGAACTTCAGGTTAGTCTTGTCCAATCAAAATCCCTATAGTCTGTCACATGTTAATACATGATAATAATTAAAGACATGTCACATGTTCACAAACATCAAGGCAGCACACATCATCACATTACAGGAAGGACCTTTAAGGAATCCCATGTTAATCTTCATTGAAAATTCAAACAAGACATTAATTATAACAATGATTACATATAATAATGACATAATAATTCAACCTGCCACATTATTAATTGATAAATATTTGTGATAACTATCGCAAGTAGAGGTATACGTTACATGTATAATAACCAGCATTGGTTAGCTTTAACGTTTAGTTTGAAACATGCCTTTTTACTTTTTACTGTACCTGAATAATGTAACCACCCAGAGTACAATGTACATATGTCATTGCAATCAAATTTTAATCAAATGTCCTACCTCGTAATAGGGCAAGCATCATATCTTTTGTAATACTTTCATCAAAGCATAACTTTCCAATGGTTCATCCTTTTTAACCGCATTTTTATCCGCGTTTTATTCAGCATCTTTGTAACACGAGGTACACGTTAACGTTTGATTCGAAAGGAAACTCAACGCTTTAAATCAAACATAAATCGACTCAGTAAGAACTTCCTGTATGCTTTTCATTTATGCAACTAGACCGATTTCTCTACTTTTAAAATTCTTTACTGCGGAGGCAGCCTAGAGAAAATGTATATTGAGTTCATGAAACCGTAATAAGTAACATACTCAGACAAAAATTGCTGGACTTGTTCTTAATTCATAAACGAATAATTTTGTCGTACCACGGACTTAGATAATCTAATTCCGTGGTCGTACCAAACAAACCGTTCGGAACAAGATAAACGAAAGCGATCTGGAGATAACGTCACTTGTCAACATGAAAATTCACAACGTATTTCCTCGCTTATGTTGCTTTTTAACGAAATCACAAACACGAAACACCTACAACAGTTGCCGGGCGTTTCATTCAACTGGACGAAGTCAATCGGTAGTGCTGACAAAGACCCGTTACCCCAATTTGAAGCGAGGTCCGTTCTCCACTCTCGGAGACGTTGATGTGCAGTTCTTTGAACGTCTGCTTCCCGGAACTGGAAGGGTATTAGCTGATGCCTCCGAAATCGAAGGTTACAACACAGACTGGCTGAGGACATGTAGAGGTAACGTTTCGTTAACGTATCATATTAAGGGAGGGGAAAATACCGTTGTAATAGTTATGCCTTTATGTGACGTTTTTAACATGAGAGGAAAAATGCACGGCAACACCGGGATTCAAAAACGAACAAGGACCTCCGAGCTCTAGATGGACGCTCTAACCAATTGACCTACATGTACTTGATCACCGGCGATTGACCCAGTCCAATTCTGCTACATTCATCCCTGCTTCTTCTAAGTCATTGTATCCAGACACAAAACCCAATTTTGGGTATCCCCTTATATATAATTACCAAAAAGTAAACCCAATACTTGAAACAAAGTTGGTCACTGGCACCACTGTAACAGGAAAGAAAAATACATGGCAAGACCAGGGTTTTAACCTGCAAAGGTGTGAACTCTTGACTGACACTCTAATGAATTGATCTACTGGGTTGCTGGCAATCGACCCAGTCCCATTCCTAAGTGGTTTCTATATTAATTTACTTATTTTTGCACACAGATCGAGAATTTGATATTGTTACAGTTAAATATGACCGTGTTATTTAGATCACAAATTCTTATCCTCGCATTTGGATGTTGGAGGCCAGCCTGATCATAAGAAGAGTATGGCATGACCATGTTCATGGTCAAACATGCAACTCTAGTTCATACACAGCAGGCACCCAATCTGAGGCTCAAACATGAGGGGGGGGGGGGCAAGATCAGACAAATACCATTGTCTAAGGGTCTCAGCCATCTTGTCTTGTACTTGTGGTTCCCTCCTGTAGTAGGAGCACCCCTAGCTGGAATGGTAGGTAACACGTATGTTTTCATATTAATGTGAGTGGATCAGCTGTACAGTATTAGTAGGGATACTAGGTGTACTCTTATGCCATATATATCTATAGGGTGGGACATGCAGTTTTTACACTCCTAGGTATCTACGGGAAAGCAGTGGAATAAAGTTCTATCTTAAATAACTGATATTTTAAAAACAGACTGCTTCAAGGCCACAGACTGGACAGGCTACCATGCAGCACACAACCTACAGGCGTTCATCTTAACAGGAAGATTGCTTTTGTATCGGAACTGGACTGGGTCGATCATCGGCAACCATGCAGGTAGCTCAATTGGTAGAGCGTCCGTCTAAAGTTTGGCGGGTCCCGGGTTCAAAACCTGGTCTGGCTGTGGATTTTCCGCTTCTGTTACGGTGGTGCCTGTGACCAACCCTTCTGCCAAGCATTTTGTGTATGCTTGGCAAGGGGTTACCCAAACCTGGGCTGTAAATAGTTGTGTCTTCGGGGGCGAAGACTTAGAAAAAGGAGGGAGGAATGTAGCAGAACTGCACTGGGTTAGTCACCGGCAATCAGGTAGCTCAATTGGTAGAACGTCCGTTTAGAGTTTGGAGGTTAGAACCCTGGTCTGGCCATGCATTTTTCCGCTCCTGTAACACTATAATGGTTACATATAATATACAACTAATGAGAAATGAGCCTTTATAGAATTGAATATCTAAGAAGAATCTCTTGATGCTCTGTGAGACTAAGAAGAAGATTACCAATCTTAGATGTGTAAAGAGTGTGGGTGCTATTATCAACATCATAATAATTTTTAAACTTTGACATTTAAATGTGTTGTGTTATTTGTTTGAATATGATATGGACATTTTCCAGGATGCAGTGAGCTTGTTCTACGACCAAAGACAACAGAAGAAGTTTCTGCCATTTTGAATTACTGTAACATAAAGAGTGTGGGTGCTATTATCAACATCATAATAATTTTTAAACTTTGACATTTAAATGTGTTGTGTTATTTGTTTGAATATGATATGGACATTTTCCAGGATGCAGTGAGCTTGTTCTACGACCAAAGACAACAGAAGAAGTTTCTGCCATTTTGAATTACTGTAACATAAAGAGTGTGGGTGCTATTATCAACATCATAATAATTTTTAAACTTTGACATTTAAATGTGTTGTGTTATTTGTTTGAATATGATATGGACATTTTCCAGGATGCAGTGAGCTTGTTCTACGACCAAAGACAACAGAAGAAGTTTCTGCCATTTTGAATTACTGTAACACACATAACCTAGCAGTGGTTCCCCAGGGAGGGAACACAGGATTAGTGGGTGGAAGTGTTCCTGTGTTTGATGAAGTTGTGGTGTCCACTCAACTCCTTAACCAGATTATCAGTCTTGATGAATTATCAGGTAATTAACTGCTAACAGTAACGATTTGCTCACTGAACTTATTAATCACCCTAAAAAGTATTAATTTTGATTCATGCTTATTGAGTTTCAGCTGGTACTAGCTACCAGAGGGCACTAGAACTGTGCACACTGTCTCTCAGTATTCCGTCTTTCATCTCTCCTTCCACCCCAAACATTTGTCGAGGGACACCTCCTATACTAACTGTTTCATTTGGAGTTACCAGGTTTGGTATGCAAAAACAAAGTAGGTCACTGTGATGTATATTTTGACCTCCGACCTCCTAACATTACCCCCCGCTTTCACCGAAAACGAGGGTATATTAATTTGGGTTTGTCTGTCTGTCTGTCACGCTTCGTTTACATGCAATAACTACAACAAATGTAAACCCATTTTCTTGAAACATGGTCACAGGGTCAAATGCCTAAATGGCTCCGCCATGTTTGATGACCACTTTCAGCGGACCTCATTTGGCGGAGTTATTGATCCTTGAATAACGAAAAAAGGTCATTATCTGCCACGCTTCGTTTCTGTAAAATAACTACACAGATGTTAACCGATTTTCTTCAAACTTGGTCACAGGGTTAAATGCCTTAAGGGCTTGGCCATGTTCAATGACCACATTCAGCAGACCCCCTTTGGCGGAGTCATGGCCCCTTGAATAACAAAAAGCGTTATCATATGCTGCGTTTCGTTTCCAAGCAAAAACTACAACAAATGTTAACCGATTTTCTTCAAACTTGGCAACAGGGTTAAATGCCTTAAGGGCTCGACCAAGTTTGATAACCACTTTCAGCAGTACTCATTTGGCAGAGTTATGGCCCCTTGAATAACGAAAAACATCATTATGTTCCGTTTTCCATTTACTCTCGCAAATAGTATCTGATTGTCTTCAAACTTAGTAACAGGGTTCAACGCATTAAGGGCTCAGACAAGTTTGACAACCAGTTTAATCGGACTCCTTTTTGCAGAGTCATTATCTGCAGTTTCAGCTTAATAACTCTAGCAAATATTAGATAAGGCTTTTTTTCTTCAAGTTTCAAGCTAAACATTATGTCTCAATAGCACGATACAAACGTGTTTAAACCTAACCTCAATAATGTTAACCTACAGTATGTCCTGAAAGCGGGGGATATAAATTCCATGAATATGCTTCTTACTATTTCACCTGTAGTTACCATATTTGGCACACAGGGACACATTTGTATTGTTGGGTGATGAATATCAAAAGTAGGCCACTTTGACATGATGTATGTATGTATTGACCTCTTATTTCTATCATTAAAACAATTTATAACAAAAGGAAAGAAGCCATTCCTGAACCCAGGTTTCCATAACTATTCATTCTTGTGCTGTCTATTTTATGCCTGCTAGCCATATATAGGCATAAAGTCCTAAAGTGAATATAAGTACAATATAATATACTGGTTTACTTTGAGACTTAATGAAATCACCAGATAGCTGTGCTCTGCTGACGGCCTACCTAGCAAGTGGAAACTAGTCAGCACAAGTATCGATACAGCTATGGAAACTCAGATTTAGGAGTTGCTTCTATTCTTTTGTTATTTGCTGTGCTTATCAAAAGTGTGCTTCTGTATCCTCCTGAAATGTAAACACTCTCTCATACATACTTGACATTGGTTCTTTCCCTCCATTTCCATTGTATTATTACTGTGTTCTAGACCTGGACCTTTATAATTACTAATAGACATCAGATATTCAGAGTTATACCAGCCTCGTATGTTATACTTTATAGGATCTCTGGTGTGTCAGTCTGGATGTGTCCTAGACCTGGACCTTTATAATTACTAATAGACATCAGATATTCAGTTATACCAGCCTCGTATGTTATACTTTATAGGATCTCTGGTGTGTCAGTCTGGATGTGTCCTAGACCTGGACCTTTATAATAACTAATTGACATGAGATATTCAGAGTTATAACAGCCTCGTATGTTATACTTTATAGGATCTCTGGTGTGTCAGTCTGGATGTGTCCTAGGGACCCTAGAGGACTATATAGCAGACTACAATCTCACCATCCCGTTAGATCTTGGAGCAAAAGGCAGCTGTCATATTGGTGGAAATATAGCAACAAATGCTGGCGGTGTTCGCCTCCTTAGATATGGGTCTCTTCATGGCAGTATCCTTGGTCTGGAAGCTGTGAGTAACTGTTAGTGGTTTACAATCAAACTTAAACATGTCTAGTTAAATAGCAATGTGATGAAAATCAAAGGTTATGACCAAAGGTTACAGATATACAGATATTAATTTTAATTTTAGGAATATTGTATTGAAAAGCTATAACCCTAATAATATAATCAATAAATGTTATCAAACCAAATTGGCTGTTATGATTAAAGAGTGGTTACATATGATTTTTGGACATTTCTTGACTTTTTATTTATGGTTTTACCGAATCTGGCAAATTCGTGTATGCTTTTGGTGTCCAAGCCAAGTTTGAAGGTGACCAGAATGTGTTTATGATAAGTATCTAGCTAGGTGAATACTTCTCAATTCAGGTTGACTGTTAGTTGCTGCCTTAGGTATAACTACATGTTATTTTAAAGTATGTTCCACGCTTGTCTGTGTTATGATAGGTCTTGCCCAATGGAGAGATTTTGGATTGTATGTCAACACTCCGTAAAGACAATACTGGATATGACCTCAAACAGCTATTTATAGGATCTGAAGGGACTCTCGGGATTGTCACGGCAGCCTCTGTCCTGTGCCCGCAGAAACCATCAGCTGTCAGTGTAGCATTTCTGGGTAAGTTAAATGTGGTGTCTAAGCCAAACACGTGTCCTTTCCTTGTTTTCTTTTTTCAGTTTCTTTGTATGTATCATGTATAAAATGGAGATCAGATAGCAACCCAGTCACAAATAGTAAGGTATTTAGTCACCTGCCCAACCATGTGGATTTTTTTGTGAAGCTCCCGTTTCCTCCAAATAAGGATCTCCTGTGATTTCCATCAGGGCGAACTAGAGTGATTAAATTCTGGTCAAGAAAGCTTGTGTCATAATTGTTGTTAAATAATAAAGTTTGAATGAACTTTCTACTAAGTCTGGTTTTATTTTTATAAAAAAAAATGTATGAACTATATATATATATATATAAAAAATACATAATTTAAATTGATAAAGCTCAGTGTTACAACTGTTTTGGCCCGAGGCTAGATATTGATATCAGTAAAAAAATGAAGTATTTGTAATCCCATCTAATTTGCTTCTGTTTGATATTTGAACCTTTGAAATTTTCTGAAAGTAATCTGTGTTTTTGTGTATTATTACTGGGAAGCCGGAAAATATATGTGAACAACACACATTGTTATATTGCAAATAGTAAAAAAGTAACATAAAGCTACGAGAGGCCACTCTAGATCTGCTATATTTTCACTTAACAGCAGCTGAAATAGGATTATCCAGATATAATATCAACAATGACAGAGAAGTTTTTGTCTCCCTTGCAACCAATTATTTGTATACTGTATAGCGGAAAATTTCGCTGAAGATAGTTTATGCCTTTTTCGCCCTTTGCAATAAGAGAGAGTCTATCATGATAGCAAATATATGTACACATTTACCGTATATTGTAATTACATGTGGAAGGCTGATTTAATTAGACGAACATAGATATTTCTAGTGAAGGATGAACATTTGTCTGGTTGAAAGGTTCCTGGTATATACTAAAATTGTACTTTTTCAGGTGTTGGACCCTTTATGCAAGTTTTTGTTCTTTTGATATGCTATTAATAAGTCAATCAAAAAATCTTTAAATTGTTAAAAATACTTTCTTATTTTGCTGCATGAACATGATTGTACTATATGGTTTATATTCTTCACATACTTTTCCTTTCTATTTAGAAAAAGAAACATTATATGTTTATCATTTACAGGCTGTGAGAGCTTTAGTAAAGTCTTGGATATATACAAACAAGCAAAAGGTATGTTAGCCGAGATTTTATCTGCATACGAGTTCCTAGACGAGGCATCAGTGGCTGTCAACAAAGAAAACCTGAAGATGACCTCACCAATCGGAGACTTTCCGTTCTTTGTTCTGATTGAAACTTCTGGCTCCAATGGTGACCACGATGAGGAAAAACTGAACACGTTTTTAGAAGCAATGATGTCTGATGGTTTAGTACTGGATGGAACTGTGGTCACAGAATCCACTAAGATTAAGGTAACTTAAGGTTACCTACATGTAGCATGATGTGTGATGGTTTAGTACTGGATGGAACTTGTGGCACAGAATCCACTTAGATTAAGGTAAGTTAAGGTTACCTACATGTAGCATGATGTGTGATGGTTTAGTACTGGATGGAACTGTGGTCACAGAATCCACTAAGATTAAGGTAAGTTAAGGTTACCTACATGTTGCATGATGTGTGATGGTTTAGTACTGGATGGAACTGTGGCACAGAATCCACTAAGATTAAGGTAAGTTAAGGTTACCTACATGTTGCATGATGTGTGATGGTTTAGTACTGGATGGAACTGTAGTCACAGAATCCACTAAGATTAAGGTAAGTTAAGGTTACTTACATGTTGCATGATGTGCTGATGCAATGATGCAGTGTCAGCCCTCACTCCATAGTTAACTTTTACTTCAAACATCTTTGCTTCAGAAGGATGAAGCCTAAAGTCATGATATTTGCCCAGGAGTTTGCAAAGTTGTAAGCATTCAAGTTTGTTCAAATGAATGACCTTGACCTATTTTTATGCTAAATTGGTCAAATGTGTTAAAAATGATAGACTTCTTTAAAAGCATAATAAGGACAACAGTCTTGATATTTTGCTTTTGGGTTTCTGAGTTCAGGGCTATAAAAAAATATTCAAATTAACAACTTAGACCTCTTTCAGTGTCACTTAAATCAAATGTATTAAAAATTAAGACGATTTCCTCTTTAGGTTGAGGCCTGGGATCCTGATTTTTAGTTTGCAACATGCAAGGATAAAGCCTATCAAATGGGTTGAAATGTGACCTTCTTCACCCACACAATATCAATCATATTATAAGTGATTACTATAACACAGAAATTAGAATAAAGCTTATTTTTCAGTGCAATTTGTAGGAAAAAAATAAAATTTTAGAATTGGTCTTCAGGAAATGCTATCTTCTCTAGATCTATAAGCACAGGTACAGTTGATTTGTTTTGTTACACAGGATATCTGGTCACTGAGAGAAAGAGTGGCCGAAGGACTGTTACACGATGGCTATTGTTACAAGTATGATGTTTCCCTGCCTCAGGCCAAGTTCTACGATCTTGTTCTTGACATGAGAGAGAGGCTCGGGTCGTCTGTAATCAGAGTCGTAGGATACGGACATGTTGGGGATGGTAAGAATTTTAAAACTTAATGTTTTTGTAAATGTTTAAAAGGAGATGTTTGACAATCCCTTTGTCAGACAGAGGAACATTGGGATTACCATTTAAAAGTTGCATTGAAAAAGAATCTGTGGAAAATTGGCAACATAGCCTTAAGTAAAGAATATTTCTTAATTTTTTAAAAATGGTCTTTCTTATGAAATGTGGTAAGGCACATGTATTTCATGGAAAACATTAAATTGGTAGTAGGAAAAACAGTTTTGTTTACAAATGGGATGAAATTAGTAGAATTAAAGAGTGCCCTTGCATACGATTTTTTTAGAATCTATTTCACTAATAAATGGCATTATATTTATTTTCTCTCCACAGGAAACCTACATTTGAACATGACCTCCCCTACTTATAGTTCTGAGGTGATGGGTAACATTGAGCCATTCGTTTATGACTGGGTGTCCAAGTACAGTGGCAGTATTAGTGCAGAGCATGGTCTCGGATTTAAGAAAAGAAACTTTATCTACCATAGTAAATCTAAGTCAGCAGTAAGCTTGATGCAACAGATTAAGAAGTCTATTGATCCAAACGGAATAATGAATCCGTATAAAGTTCTACCAGAAGAGTAGGGGGGAAAAAATGTCTTAAAGAATTTTCATTTTTTTTAAATGATTAAGTGAAATTGTTTTAATCCGGTGCTATATGAAACACTAACCAGTATTTTCTGATTGATATTTGTGATTGGTACTTAATAATGATATTTATAGATGTTGATTTAACTGGTTTTCCAGTGGACAATATATTTACATTATTTTCTATTATGTTTTAATCTTGCAACAGAATTGGCAGCAAACATGTTGATCTCTGTTAAATAATGTAACTCAGGTTTTTTACATTTGGGTAAAAAAAATTATAACTATAGGAATTGACTTAATCAAAACTGTTTTATTTGTATACCGAAAGTATGCAATTTTTGCCATGCAGACACAATAAGGACAATTTTTTAACTATATATACACAAAATTAGTTTTGTGTTACAATATTTTACTAAATATACACAAAATTAGTTTTGTGTTACAATATTTTATGCAGAAAGCAGAATGATGCATTCATGATTTTATCCATTAGTCAGTTAAGTGTAGTCTAGTCCAATCTGCTGGTAAAAAAAATCACGAAAATAAGTTTGATAGAGTCTTTATCACTGGTGTAGACAGAGAAAGTTTGATCCGAAGGTAAGATATTTGAAGTTGATAAAAAAAAGGTTGTACAACACTGTGCTGAGTAGTAAACATCAACAACCTCACCATGACGGTTGAGATCTATATCTCTGTCTATATCACACTGTAGTGAAGGATCATTGTTCTCCTGCGATTTTCTTCCATAATAAAAGTAAATTGTACTGCTGAACTCAAAACATAGTGCCAGCAGAAGGGAACATAAAATGTGTGGTAGATTATAATTCATTTAATAATACTACACTGGTGATCAGGCAATAATACTACACTGGTGAGGCAATAATACTACACTGGAATAATACTATACTGGTGAGGCAATAATACTACACTGGTGATCAGGCAATAATACTACACTGGTGAGGCAATAATACTACACTGGTGAGGCAAGTGATAGTGTTTTTGTGATGTTAGAATAATGTGTGTGAGCTGTTTTCCTCTAGGTAGGTAAATACATATTTACCTTTACCTGGCAAAAAAGGTATGCACCTGTGAAGTGTGTGAGAATTATAAAATCTTTCTTGGGGGTGAGATAGGGGAATGTCAATCCAAAGGGGAAGATTCTTAAGTTGTCAAATATGAGTCTTACCACGATACCCCATCTCACCTGAATAATTATTTTTCTGTTACCCTGTTGACCCTGTCATATATGTACTGTAACGTTAATGTTACAGGCTCTGCACATTGTTGACGTGACATCATACAATTGTTATGACTGGGGTATCCCACTTTCTCAACCCTAGGGTGAGACAAAGATATCTCACACCATGAAAAGTGTGGATACACCTGTCCAGGGCAAAAGAAAAGCTGATATATAAATGGCTGTGAATTTATTTTAATAGATGAAGTATTGTCGTGGTAGTCCTGGTATGGTTGTGCCATTTCATTATCATTTGATTGTTTGTAATTATGATATAACAATGTTTGAAATCAAACTGATGTAAATAACAGCCTTTATGATACTGATTTCCCACCAGTTTATATAGAATAAATTGATTTCATACCCTCCTTGATCAACATTATCTAATTAAAAACAAAATCATTATCTTGAGGAATAAGATTGACATTGGGGGAAAAAATATACAGGGTATTGTTGCTGATCATGTGCCAAGTAAGGCTTAATGTCAAAATGTGTGATGTTTTATGCCGTGGTGCGGCGTCCATCGTCTGTCTGTCCTCCGGTGTCAAGATTTTACTTTAAACAACTTCTTCTTAATAACCAAAAGGCCTAGGATGATGATATTTGGCCAGCAGCAAACTGGGATGAACGCTACCAAGTTTGTTCAAATGAATGACCTTGACCTATATTCAAGGTCACAGGGATCAAATATGTTAAAATCTTTAAACGACTTCTTTTGGATAACCAAAAGGCCCAGAATGATGATATCTGGCCAGTAGCATGCTAGAATGAAGGGCTACCAAGTTTGTTCAAATGAATGAACTCACTTATATTCAAGGTCAATTGAGACAGGGGTCAATTGTATAACCAAAAGGTCCAAGGTGAATTATATTTTACCAGAAGCATGCTGGGTTGGAAGTCAATAAACTCTGTTCAACTTAATGTCCTTGTTCGACACTCTAGGTCACAGGCGTCATATGTTTAAATCTTTTAATAGGTTCTTATGAATCAAACACTGATATTCTGCCTGTAGCTGTATTTTAGTCCACTTTTAAGATTACAAGTATGCAATTAATACTAGATGAGCGATTCAGGCCCATTGGGCCTCTTGTTACTTAATCAGTGTGATAGAAGTAATTGATTTAATACTGTCACCAAAGAATAAGAGGTTTCAGTGGCGTGTTTATGCCGAAGTTTTAAATAGTTTGGGTTATCATGTAAATGACTTGTTTCTGACATTTAAATTTCCAGTTACAATTCTTACCAATACATTCAAAAAAAATAGTGAAATAATATCACATGCTCATATAATTTTACGCATGCAATCACCAAAAAGATGATAATTCCATTATTAACCCATCATTTTTGTTTGTTGCATTTTTTATGATTTGGAAAAGGTCTCATTTTGTCATTTTTTTCATGTTGACTCTTTTATAAAGAAATTCGTACAATAATTATTTGTTAAAATTGTTCGTTGGTATAGGTCCTCTCACCATTAAAATACAATCGTTTTGTGCTGTTCAAATTTTGTTTGTCTTATTATTCAAGCAAAATCAATTGTTATTTAATGAAATTTGATTCAGCCATGTTAACGTCACATGGTTTCACATTTGTCCGTCCATTCGTTTGGCTCTCGGTGACCATTTTGTGGCTTACACCATAACCTATAAACGGAAGGAAATATTACAAGATAATTTGCTATGGAATGGTATGCCATTGAGTGACATTCCTCGTGCCTCATAAAGAGGAACCAAAAGGTGATAGTTCAAGAGCCTGCCAAAAAATGTCATTGATATTCTGTCTGACGACATTTCAGACAATTTCCATAAACAGTGAAGTGACATTTCAGAAAGTTTCCATGAACAGTAAAGTGACATTGTGTAAGGTTTCCATGAACATTAAAGTGACATTTCAGTAGGTTCCCATGAACAGTTAAGATACATTCTGTAAGACGACATTTCAGAGGGTTTCCATGGAGAGTTAAGAGACATCGTGTAAGGTGACATTTCAGAGGGTTTCCATGGAGAGTTAAGAGACATCGTGTAAGGTGACATTTCAGAGGGTTTCCATGGAGAGTTAAGAGACATCGTGTAAGGTGACATTTCAGAGGGTTTCCATGGAGAGTTAAGAGACATCGTGTAAGGTGACATTTCAGAGGGTTTCCATGGAGAGTTAAGAGACATCGTGTAAGGTGACATTTCAGAGGGTTTCCATGGAGAGTTAAGAGACATCGTGTAAGGTGACATTTCAGACGGTTCCCATGGTTAATTACGGATCCATGTGTACCGCTGCATTATGTTTCGTCCTGTATACATGTACAGTCACTTTCACTTAGATTCCGTTTGGATATAAATGTAGAAAAGTTTGAGCAGAACACCTCCGATGAGTAGGTAGCTAAATCGGTTAGAGCGATAGTATATCAATCTGAAGTCCGAGGTTCGAATCCCAGTCCAGTTCCTATTGACATTTACACTCAAATCACTATTATTGATTATTGTTATGCCCCCGCCATAAAATGGAGGGGCATATAGTGTTGCCCATGTCCGTACCGTCCCGTCCCGATTCAATGTAAACATTTGGTCAAACTTTATACAAAAAAAACAACCCTCCATAAAATAGGGGGGGGGGGGGGGGCATATATAGTGTTGCCCATGTCCGTCCCGTCCCGATTCAATGTAAACACTTGGCAACTTCAATCTTTGACAGATATTGTGGTTAAACTTTATACAAAGGTCAAGTATGAGTATACTTCGGACATCGTTGTGTTTCAGGGATCCAAGGTCAATGCCAAGGTCACACTTGCTATATATATAGAAAATCATCAACTGTTTCAAATTTAAACACTTATCAACTTCATTCTTTCATGGATTTTGGTTAAACTTTATGCAAAGGTCAATTATGAGTATACTTCGGACATTGTTGTGTTTCACGCTTCCAAGGTCAAGTCCAAGGTCACTGTTGCTATATATAGAAAATCGTCAACTGATTCAATTTAAACACTTAGCAACTTCATTCTTTCACGGATTTTGGTCAAACTTTATACAAAGGTCAAATATGGGTATACCTCTGACATCCTTGTGTTTCACGGTTCCAAGGTCAAGGCCAAGGTCACTGTTGCTATATATAGAAAATCATCAACTGATTCAATTTAAACACTTTGCAACTTCATTCTTTCACGGATTTTGGTCAAACTTTATATATTAAGGTCAAGTATGGGTATACCTCTGACATCCTTGTGTTTCAGGGTGGTAATAACACACAGAAAAAAACCATATGAATATTAAAATCAACTTATCAACTTTAAGTGTAATACCTTGTGTGTGTACATCCTTCATGGTATCACGATCAAAGTGGTTGTAACTTTTATAGAACACTGAAACTAATTTCACATGGCAACGGAGGCATTTATGTCTTACAGACCTTTTTCTAGTTTTATCATTTAGTCTGTCTTATTCCTCATAAAAGTCCCGGTAAGGTATGGTTTATTTGTTACGGAAGGCGAAGAAGTCGAAAGTTAATAAATAGTGACCAAGTATTTCTGGTAAACAATACCTTCGGATTTTATTTAGAATGGAAGATTTATACACAAACAAAAAATGGATAAAAAGAGTTGTCGTGATTTGTAATTGGTTTATATTTTATTGGTTGAAAACGCATTGTAAATTTTGATTGGTCGAGAAATATGTATTGCGTTTGTTTTGCACTACGTTCAGTTATAACTGGAAAAAGAACATACATTTGTTCTATTTTCTACACGAGGGTCGAGTAGTCGAGTAGGTCTGTTTGATAGGAGGAGACTAGTCGTTTATATATTCTGTAGTAAAGATTAACGCTTTACGAGGAGTCATAGAGCTTGTAACCCACGTTCTGTTTCTAAGTATATGTATAGGGCTAACATGTACATGTAATGGCAAACCAGTCACTGTACGTGACGTTTCTTGTTACTGGTTGAAATGTGTACAGTAGTGAATGATTAGTATAAGGTTAATGTTTTGTGATTAATCTATACGACTTTTAGAATTGTACTGATTGATGATCAGTCTATAATTGCTGGAATCGTGTGTCACCAAATATAGGGCTGTGCATACGAAATGCTAATGCCCTATAATAGTTACGGTGTCTGTCTGTCCTTCCATCTGTCTGTCCTATGTCTAGCTGTCCGTCAACATTTGCATTTTCGGAGATCATCTCGGAATCCAAAAGACTAACTTTTTTTTTAAATTGACATGGTAATGCAATGTAATATGTAGGTTTGCAAAAGGATTCAGAAAGACAATATGATCAAAGTCAAGGTCAATGTTAATAAAACAATACCAAAATGAGGAGAGGTGGAATCCACGAAATTACAGGGCTACGGTCAACCTCGAATATAGCTATTTGATAGACAGATCATGAGGCTAAGTTTACTTTTACACAGCCGTGCGATTATTTTGCTGTACATCAAAGGACCAAACAAGCCTGCTTGTTTGCAGACTATGACGTAATTTTTAACGTCCCATGGCGTAACTTTTCATGACCCGTAACTTTGCCAGTTGGCAGCGATTTCCAAATATCTACAATTTCCGAATTAGTAAAAGCCATTGATCTAGTTCGGAATGACCGGATATTGATACAAAGCAGTCGTTCCGTGTATGACTTGGATATATTTGAAGGAAGTGTTTTTGGAGTACAAAATGGACTCTGGTGATAGCTAAAGTGTGCGGCTGGACATTGTTTTGTTGCATGCTAGACAGAGATATCCGCATTTCCGGTGGTGCTGGAAAACGTTTACAAGCGCAGACTGGCGGGGGAATTATAGTGACCTTTGGGGTCACGCTATTGTTCGTGACGTCATTTTATGACGTTTTGGGCTCAGTCAGGGTCATTTAAGTCACTAACAATTGCCATCCGGGCTTCATATGCAAATGAAAAATGTGCACACAGTTTACAACTTTACTAGAAGAGCAACTGTTTTTACGGGTTTTAGGTAATAAGCAAGAAATAGAATCCATCCCTGATGTGAGGAAAGGATAAAGTTATTCAAACCCTCGGGATAAAATATTGAGCAAAAGACCCTCGGCAGAGCCTCGGGTCTCCTGCTCAATATTTTATCCCTTGGGTTTGAATAACCTTATCCATACCTCACATCAGGGATGGATTCTATTAATATATATAGTTGAACGCGTGACATGATTTGAATACGTACGTAACACTTTGCAAACCAAATCGATGCTCGCCTAAACATTTTGGCTTTTGTAAATGACAGAGTAGATGAGATATGTCCCGGACTAAGTGGCCCACAGACTGATTAATATAAAGTCTATCATAATTATCAAGTATTAGTCATTGGGCTTTAACTTTTCAATGTTCAGCACATATTGTTTTTAACATTTCAACAACTTCTTCCATGGAACCATGCAACCTTGGGTAAGAATATATAGGATAAAACATGCTGGGGTAAAGGGTATTCAAGCTTGTTAAAATAACGATCTTGATCCATACTCAAAATCAAAAACACAATAAACACGCCCCAGTTTTCAAGACAACACAATTTATTTTCGTATATATTTTAGCTAAGACAAACAATTACTTGTGAACATGTCTAATGTTGAGTATTTTTTCCAATTTACTTCAATACTATTGTCAAACATCATTTGTTTATAATTTTGATGAGATTGTTTTTGAATTTCCATTATCTGGATTGATTCTTTAAATTTTAACAATTTCCATTATATGTGATATATAATGTCTGTAGAATTGCAGGTCTATGAAATATGTCCGGGGTTGAAGTTCACGTCATCTTTGTATTATCCCAACATGTAGTTCACGTTTCATGGTTACGAGATAATGCATTGTTGTTTGTCCAGCGCACTGTCGTACTCTATTAGTTTGACATTGTTACGCCCAAACACAGCCCATAGAACATCATCCCTGTCTACACAAACAGCCACCGTTCTGAAATTGTCAATGTGTATGATTCTGATGAACTCACCACACCCACTGATGAGTAGGACACGTTTGTTGTTACGGTCCCCTATGACTAGGTTACCCACACTATCATACACCACACCCCGGGGTTAAATGGTGCACAACCTGACTGTGATGTTGGGTGACGTGTATGTGGGACTCCACCATCATATACAAACAGTTTCTTGAAATTTGTGTCCATGACAACAACATATGGTTTCCCTTCACCATCATCATGTATACTATCCCGGTTAGTCACTGCGACATTGTGGGTAAGAGAACACTCTGATAAACTGTGTGGTGTACATACTAATGGCATTCCAGCCCCTTCAGCTAATGAATCATGCACCAATACACCTTTTGTGGAGAATTTTGAGATGTGTTTGGCCATACCCACAATAACATGGTTACTGGCTGTGGTGACTCCATGGTACTGAATCTATTTACTGGTCGACCTAACACGAGCTCCTTGGTGTTGTTTTTCCAGGCACAGATCCACAGTGTGTTGGTTGTTGGTGACAGACTTATGTCTCTGACCAAAGCATTGGGATAAACCTCCTGTACTTCGCCCTTCCTGTTCAGTTGAGTTAGGGTGTTACCATCACTAGTCCACACCGGCCCGTCAGTTGTTGGACATACAGAAGATATAAAACATGGAGACTCCCACTCACACAACACCTTGGTCTGAGGCAACCGGGTATATAATGGACTGGACACGTCCTTTCTTCCTGTGGATTTTTGTTGTGTATTTGATACCTTGACCTTTAATCCCTGACCTTGGCCCGAGGTGTTAACTTCTCCTAAAGCTTGTTTCAATTGACCCTGCGGATTTTGCCTGGGAGTGAAACTAGCAGTACCTAGGGTAGGTTTTACGGGGAGAGTGACAGAAGATTGAATCTCACTTCTTTTGTTGCAGATTTGTAATTTGGAGCCCCGCTGAAGTGCTATCTTACATTCTTTCACTTGTTGTTTGAGCTGAGTACTGTACATTTGGAGGGCCTGCTTGTAGGTTTGTAGTAACTTGGTGTTATCTTCCTCCATTTGTTCAAAGACAGACATAGTCCGAGCTGTTAGCAGGTCAAGATCTCCTTTTATTTTGTTTGTTTGTGTCCTCAACTTGATTGAAAGTTTTTCAAAATGGCTAACATTATCCTTAATTTGTGTGTCAGAAGAGGTGATATACTGGTTAATTTCTACAAGGTCAATATTCTCAGATTTGTCTATGAAGTTTTGAATGTCTTCTCTTTTGGGGCGAATAATACTACTAAGTTCGCACGCTGTATGACCCCTATGTACAGTAGATAGACACCTAGTACAAGCTGGTGCTTGGCATTTTTCACAGTAACGGTCCAGTTGCATGTTCTGATGGTGGATACATGTAGTTTGACCTTTGGCACGGAAAGGAATCTGTCCTTTGGATACGGACGTAGCCATTTTGATTCAAAAATGTAAAACTCTTTGAATATTAGAATGTCTGTTGTCTATTCAATCACAAAATCATTTCAACAGTTGGAAAGAAGATCTGTATTGTTCACACTGACTCCGTTGTATTAACTAAATCCTGTTGTAAGCGGCATTAGTTCCGCATTTCCTGTGTTGGTAATCATAGTGTGAAACTCATTTGAAAATGTCACAGAACTAATCATCCCATAGTCACTCACCCTGTCGTCAATGCCAGGTTGTCCACAACACATTGAACAACATCACTTTAGATATATTCAACAACGTTTAGCACGAGTTCTATGTCACAATTCTAAATAGTTACTTCGGCAAGTCTACATTCTGTTTTCTGAAATGTGAAGGTCACTTAATTACACGACCAGAAATGGGCGTTTAACGATAAACCGATAGGTGATGTAGTTATATACCTGGCCAGAAAGTAGGTAAGTTTATCACGGTTTTGTAAACCAGTTTATGCTCAAGTCAAGTGAGAGTTCACGTGCGATACATGGACTTAGGACAATGACGACATATACAAGTGTCAATGTCTGCCTAGCTATAAACGATACGGAATTGACCACCAACCCGCCCCTTCTTGGAAGTATGCATGTTTCGGTGTCTTTTTCATTCCGTATATGAAAACAATTCTTTTGAATGAGCACACAGTGAACATTCTACAACAGATCAAGGCTAGATCGAGGTAAAGACCAAGTGGAATGCTAAGGTGGAGACTCGGAGACAGTGTGTGTAATTTCGATTTGTTTTTGTACAAACACGAATAAAATTGCGTGTCCTAGTATATGCATAGCTAAGCAGATGAATAATCTGTAATCAATTTGAGCTTTGTATCATAACTGCTGTTTGTTCGTTTGAGAGGGG